CCCCAAAACCCCAAAACCCCAAAACCCCAAAACCCCAAAGTTAAAAATCAGTGTTGAAATTTTAGAAAGTTGGATTTTTAGAATAAAAATTTAGATTTATTATGCTTTTGAGGTGAAGAACAAGGCCTGAAGTCTTCAAAGTGTTCATCGAAGAAGTGGGTTGGCAGGTGATCAGCGCTCGGAGAAGGGCAGACAGAAGGAGGTTTAAGAGCTAGGAAGAAGGTGAGGAAGTCGAAGGGGAGAGAATAGGGAAGAAATGGGAAATTGGTGAAATTTTATCAGATTTTGTGGGGTTAGGAAAAGGAAAGTAAAAGAGAAATAAGGTTTACTTACTGATATAGAATGAAAAAGTTGAACCCCTGAATTCTTTAGATTCGTCTAATTGTTTATTACAAATTGCTTACAATCAATCTGTCCTCCCAGACTCTCTACAATTCGCTTAGAAATATATAGTCCAATTCCGGTTCCATGTTGGTTGATTTCTTTACGATGGGCCTTGACCATGCTAAACATTTGGAATAAATTTGCTTTCTTCTTGTTGATTCTAACCCCTGTATCTCTAACTGAAAACCATAGTTGAGTTCCAATATTTGATTCCCTTAATTCAAGGATCACCTTGATACCTCCAGTATGGGTAAACTTTACTGCATTTGAAATTAGATTGATGAGAACTTGTCGAATTCGGCTTTGATCAGACACAAAATAATGTTCCAATAATGCATCAAATTCAGGAATTATTCTAAAATAAAGCCCTCTTTTATGGCATTGCTCCTCGAAGATGTAGCAGATGTCTTTAGCTAGGTCACCGAGTTTGAATGAAGCTAAACGTTAAAATCTGATTACCAATGTTGAGCATAAAGACTCCTGAATCGAATTTCTCTAGATCTAGAATGTCTTCTACTAGGTTCATCAGTAGTCGTGATGATATGGTGCCCATCTTGATGAACTTTTGAATCTGGGCTGAGTAGCTATCCACTTCTAGACAAGTTTGTTGATCCAAGAAAGGCCTAACTTCGCTAAGGACTTGGTCATAATGAAACTTGATCAGGCTCAGCGAATTCTCAAATGCATTCAGAGGAGTTCTGAATTCATGTGACACACTTGCAAACATGACTTTTTGGCAAGAAGACTTAGCCTGCTCCTCCTCAAGCTTCTTAACATGGGTGGAATCTACAAAAATATGCATGTATGAATGAGTGTTGTGGTTCCAAAGTACATTCATTGTTTTAACAGTGTAATACTTGGGCTCTTCACAGTCCTCATATTCATCATGATCATTTAATCCTCATTGTCCAAGTCGGGGTTTACCCCTGAGATCAGCTTTTATTCGAGACTTTTTGAACAAAGACACCATTGAGTTAATAGCTTTCTTAGTATTTTTAATCTTATCAAGTTTGTGGCATTGGAGTTCCGACAAAGAAGATAAAGAACAACTTGGAGAGCGACTCTTTTTATTGCTTTGTCTCACTCTCACCGGAGAGTCTTTTACATCTATCTGGGTTCCGGTTGAATCAACATGAAGAATGCACTCTCTGGCTGTTTTTTTTACATATTTTGTAACAAATTTGTTATGTGTGCCAAGCTGTTGGATGATGACACCTTCAGGAAACATTTGAAAGATATTTTGGATTGTATCTGTGAGATCTCTGTTTTCTTTGATTAAATGAAGCATTTTTCGAAAAATTATTGAGTGAAGTAATGGACCAATGGAAACGAACAATATAGACAATAAAGTAGCAACGTAAAACATTAAGGGAACTCCACTCGTCTTTGGTTTTGAAGTATCTTCTACTTGAGAATTATATTTCCAATGAACTCTTAATATTAATGTAATCATGTTAACAGCATTAGGAATTACCAAAAACTTCCAATGAAGTCATATGAATGCATTTCATAAAAATACAACGCTCATATATACGATCCACATCTCATAAAAGTGATAATTCTCTGTTTTCAAGGTACCTGATATACAGCCATTGCCCCAGACCAATAGCAATCAAGCAAAGAAGTACTTTTTCAACTCTGGCATTTTTCTTCCTAGAAAATTCAAAATTGAATAAATAGCCATGAACAAAGACACTATAATAAATCATCTTTTTCTCAGAGCAGTGTCGTTAGAAAATCAAAAGACAAAGAGGGAGATGAAGGCATTGGCAACTCTATTCAGGTTCACCAGGGCATCCCAACCGCTTGAGATAGATTTCTTGCTGTGTTCCTCCAGGAGGTCCTTAATATCTTCGTCTCCTTTATTGAAATCTTTGATAAAGTCTTTCGTACTGTAATAAATATCAATAACTGGCTGGAATATAGCCTTGATTAATCAGATCATGAGCTGCTTTGCCCGGTTCTGGGAGTCTTCCTGATCATGTTCTGGTATAAATTTTATATCAAAGCTTCTCTTTTCGTTCTCGAAACTATCAAAATTTCTACTATTCCTTATTTCAGTCTTTATCATATTATATATTAAAATATGTTATTCTATATAAGATGCAAATTTGGGGTTTTGGGGTTTTGGGGTTTTGGGG